ACACACACACACCTACACACACCCACACACACACAAAGAGTACACCGTGACCATTGCCAGTGATTGGATTAGAATTTGATGAACCCTTGCCTGAAACACAGAGAGAGAACAACTGCTTTGTAGACTCTGTAAATAAACATCAAACAGCTTGTTGACCTCGGGATATTTGGTTTTCAGAACAGAGCTGTTCAAACGCCTGCGTTCATTCTAGTGATGTACAAAAACATCGTCAAACAACTGCCAGATGCTCTGCGCCATATGGAATATTAGAGTGTTGCAGCAGGCATAGGTGAACAGCAGTATAGCCAAGTGCAATATAACCTGGGGGATAAAATGATCACGGGAACTCCGGGAGGAAGTTGCAATACAAGTCAATCAAGAGATAGTACACTGATGCTTCTGCATGCTCTGCTACTGCAGATGTTGATCAAAGCAGCAATCATTTCCTGTAGAAACGTGTAGTACCCATATAGTGTACATTTGGCGACAACTAAATCAAGATATGGTACCCATACCGAAAGAACTAAATTACCACAAGAGTTACCATGGCAACAGATGTGGAAATTATCAGCCCAGTTACCTCTGACCAATCAGGTTGCTTGAGCTCAACAACTTCGAAGATTGAAGCTTTGGGGCACAGAATCAGCACACCAATAATATAATATCTTGTCTTAAAAACAGTACGGCAGCAGTCTTTCCCATCACATACATTTCCTGATCTCAGGTTTGCTCTGTCCCCCTCTCTGACAAAGCAAACAGATGAAAATAGAACCTTTCCCATGCACCAGCCTCAGCCATGTGCCTGATATAAAAGCTGCACAGATTCTAAAAATATTTCACTTTGACATGAATATGCAAAAGCTGTGGCATCTTCATTATCCTCTGCTTCCCTTCCACCAAGCTGCGTTTACAACTTCTCATGGTGAAGGTTCTAGTCTAATAGCCTCATTACATTGCCAAAAATGTCGAAAGAGCTTCAGCACAGAGATGGGGCTATGGCAACTGTAAAAGTACTCTGTCAAATGAATACTGAAGGCAGGAACCTCAGGAGGGAAATGAAACTGTTTCAGTTATTATCAGGCGGCAGGAGGAAAATCACCGTAATGGAGCTGGATGGCCTGTGAACTGACAAGATTTACGTGGTCATTGTATAGGTCATTTCTGCTCCTCTGAGGCATCCATACACTTTATAAGCTGCTTTGTGGATAGGGTCCTAACTTCTCTGTCTGTGCACATGATGTGTTCAAGGACCTGGAAAACCCTGAAGCAACACTTTTATCAGCTAGCATAAGAGCACTGCAGCAGAATTTAATTCAAAGACGCTGATTCAAAGCAG